TAGCCACTGTACAAATGTCAATGAAACTGGTACACAGGTGATCCCAGATAAGTTATTGGAGATTTTAGGCTGATGGATCTAGGATCTTGAGAAGAATCCTGTGCTTTTGCAGAATATCTTTGCACAATAATTCTTTGCTTCTGTATTTAAATAAATAATTACTGTCACTTGATGAATGTATTTAGTAGTTTTAAAATATGGTTGAATTATTGTACTTCAAAATGAACAAGGATGTACAATTAATTTGGGGAAAAAAAAGTAATTCTATAAAAAAAAAAGAGAATGTCCGTTGGTCTAGTTTTATTTATTATTATTTATACTGTAAAATACTTTATTTTCACTTGGAATTAATTTTCGCTATTTTTGCTGAAGGAATAATTCAGTGAAAATAAAATCCCGTGAATATACCTTTTTTCCTATATTTCACATTCAACTTGTCAGTAATCAGTGAAAATAAATTCCATACAAAAAATCATTTCATTGAAAATTGATTCCGGCTAAAGTAAAGTATTTTTACAGTATATAAACTACTCTATGATAAAAATAATGAGAGTAGTAATTCAAATATGGAAAAAGACTTCTTTTCATACCCAATTCAAGCCATGCCTTCTTTGACCGTTGACCTTCACACTTTTAAATATAAATCCTTTTATTGATGAGAATCATTCATCATATATTATTCAGACTCTGTATTTTTATCATCAAATACTTGTCTTTCAGTTTGGAAAGTTGATAAACAGTGATACAGCTATAAATTTATAAGATTTAGCGTCTCCTGACATTTTGCCTCAAAATAACTCACACCTGTTACTTGTAACCATGGGGACCTTCAGTGACACTATGGTGACAAAATGGCTGACATCATTGCGGTTTGTGTTGCTAGGACACAGTGTAAAGCTACACTACCATAGATTGCCGTTCAGACCTACATAACAGTTCTCTCAATTAACTGATAGACAACAGACAATTTTTAAAATTGTTCACTATAGCTTCCTTCCGGACAGGAAATGGTTTTCTTGAATGAATTCAATTTTTTCTGATTTTTTTTTTCATTGTTATCCACAAGTGATGAGATTTGACAAAGTGAACAATATACAATTTCAGTGTAAAGTCAATTCCTCTGTTTGTAGCAACTACAAACTGCCTATTAATTTTGTCCAAGAATAATTCATTGTAAGTTTCGCAAAATTTCACTGGCATTATTTGGACAAGTAGTTAGATTGAATTTTGTGAAATTTAATCATCATTTATAATAAATCTGATATTAAATAAGATTTAAAATAAAACCTTCAACACCACTCAATCTGTGTATATATAGTGGCTGTAAACTAGTAATTGTATATTACTTTAAAATGAGTATGTGGATGCTTCGTTAATTTTAAAATAATAAAATGGATATGTAATTGGAGCTTATTTTGATGTGACATTTGTCAGCACCTCGAGTGACGCGTATTAAATGAACAAACATGCTCTGTTGTATTCTCATTGTTAATAGGCTTTAGCGTGGTGCCGCTGTAGCGGTTATGATATTGCCTCGAATTGCGGGTGGTTGTTGGTATGAACCCTAACAGCTGTATGCGATACTACTGGTATGTTTAGGAGAGTGGCATAAAATAATAAAAACTGGTTGGTTGTTGTTCTTGCTCTCAAATCAGCATCATTAGAATACCTATCCTCCCAACACTGTTAGATTACCGGTAGATTTTGTGGCAACTTTCTGCACATTAACAATGTGAGACAAGCTGCCAGTTATGTAATTGAACATTTAGTGTAAATAATAATTAAAATTAATAGCTTTAAATAATTGGTATTATTGTACATCTGTCACCGTAATGCCACCATAAGTTACAGCGTGCGGTAATTTTGCCTTATTTTGGGGGTATTTTTATCCTACCATATTAGGAAATGCAAATTTCAAATATGGAACGATTACACGCGTAAGTGTCCTCGAATAATAAAAAAACAAACATGACTGCCCCCGGGATTTGACCGGACCCACACAAAGATGTTTGTTAAATCTGTTCTAAACGTTTTGGATTTCAGCATTCTCATGATGTATCCTTGGAAGGAAAAGATGTATAATAATAAGGTTATTCCTATGATACCTCAAAGTATGCACTCAGACAGTACACCGTCACATCGAACTCCGCTGCGCGTTAGTCGATATTCTCACTGTACTGTCTTCGTTCATACTGTGCAATATCCTCGTAATAACCTCGTACACAACATTCTTCACGCACATTAATCAGCATAGTTTTTTAACAATTGAGGGTTTATACTTCGTTCAGAGACAGCGCATATAAATCAACTAAATATACATATTTTTTTATTCTTTCAATTGCATGGCCAAAAATACAAAAAATAAATAGTATAATCAAGTTCACCTTTCCTATCTAGTCTCCACTTTTAAAACTTAAAACATAACAGCTTATGTATACAGACCATCTGTCATTCATGTGACCACCCTTTCAGCAATATTTATTTGCAGATTCATCTTTGTTTAAAGACAAAAGAATAATTAATTAGAATTCCATTTATAAAACAATTTAGTTCTTTAGCTGAAATGTTTTGAAAACAAATAATATATCAATTGTATATGTTGGCAATCCAGAGAAAAATAATTCAACCTCCATATGAAGACCACATGTCTATGACCATTTTAATGTCCCTGGGTGGATGCTATATACAGGTTTGAAGGTACGCACAATGAACGCCTAAATGTGTTATGTAGATAATGTGGAGGTTGAGATATTATCTGGGTTCATACTTTGCCCTACTCTCACAAATAACCTCATTATTGAATAGTGAGTTCAGGTGACCTTCAATATTTTCATTTTACAAACTAATCAGGTAGCCGAAAAATTCCTTGCTCTAATTTATTTCTCCTTTTCATGTCTGCCGTTTTTCCAATTTTCCATTTTTCTAAAAAAGGAAATGACCAAAACACAGACAAATGCGATGTTATTTTAAGAACTACGCTATGCTAATTTATGTTAATTTATGGTAATTACACAAGTTGTCTGTGATTTTATCTGTTATCAAGCATTTCTAGTTGCTGTCAAAAACTTGTTGAGAATCTGCAAACGTAAATTTCTGTTTCTATTTGAATGTCAAAGTTGCATTTTGTCACATTTCACAAATTTTACTTGCATAGTAATTTTGATCAAAATCTGTAGCTTATGTGATATTATGTTCATTTGGTCAGAAATTAACAATGAAATTATAGAAAATTGGAAGAAAAAATGATGGCATTTTTAAAAATATATTGGTTTTATTTTTCTATACTATTCAAATACTATTTCATCTTCACAACTGCAAATGATTGGCACCACTTGGTCATGTGATAAATGTTCGCATACTGTCAGATCTAGATGTGAAAACGTGCTGTGTAATGCCAACCCAATCAGTCCATCAATTTTATAATTTCTCTTTCAGTCTA